ACGACATGTTCTTAGAACCCAAGAACGCTCTGATAACAAAAGCAATGTTCTTAGAACATAGATCCGAGGTGTAAAAACAAAACGATCTCAACCATAAATGTTCTAATAGCATTCCGTGGAAACCACAAAAAGTTCTTAGAACATTGTTTGGTAGGGCTATAGGCGAGCCAAGATGCTTCGCCACTGCTTGAATATCGGAACCTTCGCCAACCCGCTGCGCGGTCACGGATCCTGCGGCCCGGCCGCCCGGCTGCCCCACGAGCGGTCGCCACGACGGCGGAGGGGGCGGAGGAGGAAGAGAAGGAGGAGGAGGAGGAGGAGGAGGAGGAGGAGGACAAGGTAGGTGCGCTCGCGTCATATCTGACATCCAACCCCTCCCTCCCATCCCTTACCATGGCGCAGATCCCCTCTCTACTCGCACAGTCGGATGTCGAGCAGGACAATGATCCTGAAAGGGTACGCGATGCATTGTAGAGCACGGCGTGGCATGGCGTAGAAGAGCACCGCGAAGCGTAGTATCAACCTAGCATTGCATTGCATGCCGTAGCATGGCACTGGAAATGACGCCAGCGCTGCAGCGGGAGCACGAGTCGAAACGAGCGGAGGCGCGGAAATGAGGCCAGCGCTGCAGCGGGAACACGATTCGGAACGAGCGGAAGCACGCCGGAATCGGCCCGGGAGGCTCCCGGGCGCCAGAATCAGAAATTCAGCATTTTCAAAAGAGAAATGTGTATTGGAATGGCGTTTTTTCGGCGCCGCGTCGGAACTCGATTTTCCGGCGCCGGCCGGAACCGGCTCCGGACCCGGCGCTGGCTCGGGCGTCAGGCCCGGGCGCCGACTCGGGCGCCGGCCTGGGCGTCGGAATCGGCCTGGGAGGCCGGAAGCAGAAATTCAGCATTTTCAAAAGAGAAATGTGTGTCAGAATGGTTTTTTTCGGCGCCGCCTCGGAACTCGATTTTCTGGCGCCGGCTGGAACCGGCTCCAGCCCGAGCGCCGGCCCAAGCGCCGGCTGGGGCGTCAGCCCGGGCGCCGGCGGAAATGATGCCAGCGCTGCAGCGGGAGCACGATTCGGAACGAGCGGGGCCCGAAAATGAGGCCGGCGCCTCAGCGAGAGCAGCATTTTGGGAAAAAATGCTAGCGAAAACCCAGCTCCGGGGAAACCTGTGTGCAAAAAAACCGGCGGGGAGGGGGAGGAGGGGGAGGAGGAGGAGGAGGAGGAGGAGGAGGAGGAGGAGGAGGAGGAGGAGGCTGAAGGGACAATGCGAGGAGGAGAGGGCTCGTGGCTTCAGCAGGTCCCTTGCTGTGCGGGCCCGAGGCCTCGGGGGTGCGCGCCCTCGGTGCCGCGGGAGCCGATGCCGCGCTGGCGATCTGTCGCTGTGAGACGGCCCCTGGACGATGCGGCCTCGGGAAGTGTCACTCGTCAGCGGGCGAGGAACGGTATAACATAAACTCTTCCGCCGTCGGGGACGCCCACCCCTGGTGCCCCTGGGCGGCCGGAAAGCTTATACCCCTGCGGTGCCACCGGAAGGGCATAAACTTTCCAGCCGCCCTGGGACAGGCGCCCCCGACAGCGAAAAAGTTTACTGTATGAACTCGGTCGCACTCCCGCACCTTCCTCGTCTCGCCACCGCGCCCAGAGAAGACGAAGTGGCACGCTCGTTGACTCTGCGTCTTGAGGCGGAGGCCGACGACGACGACGGCGGCGACGACGACGACGACGAAGACGGAGGGAGGCAGGGAGAGAGGAGAGGGACAGGGACGAAGAGGGGCAGGGGGGAGGAGTGCTCGACGACGACGGCGGCGACGGCGAGGACGGCACGGCGTCCTGGCGGCGACCTCCGCGGCGGCCACGCGGGCGTCGGACGCCTCGGGCAGGGCCTGGCAGGCGTCGCGGCAGTGGGAAAACACAGGGGGCGAGGGAGGGAGGAAGAGGGAGGAAGATTGCTGTGGACCGCTGCCGGGCAAGCGCCCGAATAGACTGCCGAGCAAGTAAAGAACATCTTAAGCCATAAGCCGGATTCGGTATCGACAGCTCTCCCCCCACCACAAATGCACTTCTTCTTGGGAGGCTCTCCTTGTCTTAGCCTCCCAAGTGTTTCACAGTACACGCTGGTCGGAAGAAGTGGGTTGAAACATGAAGTAGGAAGGCGTTGGAAGTAGATTGGGCTTCCACCCGCCCCCTGAAGAGGAGGAAAGGAGGAACACCGCTCGACTCTTGAAGAAGGAAAGGCGCCTAAAAAAGATCAGAAACTGGGCATCCAAAAATACCTACTTTCAACGACCGGCTTGTATGTGCTGTGGGTGGTGGGGGGGGCGGGGGGCGACGGGCCACGCAGAGCGATTCGACACTCCATGTGCAGATCGCGAGGCTGAGATTCGGCACAGCAGCCTCAAAGCCCACAGAAGGTACAGTCGGCCTTTGCGACTCGGCACTTTCTTTTTATTAACTATCCTCGGAGCGCCCTGTGACAAGGGGGGGGGGAGAAGGAGGGGGGAGGGAGGGGAGTGAGGGGGTATGGATGAGGGGGGGGAGGGGGGGAGGGGGAGGGGAGGAAAGGAGGGGGAGGGATGAGAAGGAGGGTGAGGGTGAGGAGGGAGGGGGAGGAGGATAGGAGGGGGAGGGGGAGGGAGGGGGGGTGGGTGAGGGGGGAGGGGGGGAGGGAGGGGAGGGGGAGGGCCTTTGCGACTCGACGCTCCCTGACCAACGCGACGTGCCTCTGCCTTGCACTCGCCTGGCTGCGCCCGCGACGACGACATGGTGAAAAAAAAGGAAATAAGGAAACTAGAAGAAAAAAAGAAAAAAACAAAGGATAAAAGACTACGCTACTACTGGCCATGCCAATAAAAATCAGAATTGGGAAAAAAGTGGCCGCTAACATCCTTCCTTTCTATTTCCCCCCCTCTCTCCCCTCTTCCCTGTCCCCGCGCCCAAACCGTACGTTCTGCGGTGTATTCCCCTCCCCCTCCCCTGCCGCCTCGTTTCCCCTCCGCTCTTCATCCTCCCACCCCCCCCCCCCTTCTCGCCCCTCTCTTCCACTAGGCGGCATTCGCCGAGGCGGGTCGGCCAATCCCAGCCTGCACCACACAGCCGGGGCGTTGACCTAAGGAACCCTACGTGAGGAACGAGGCCCATATTGTCCACAAGTTCAACTTCGATGTCCCATCGAAAACACAAGGAAAACCCGAGGCAAGCTGCGACACAATCCAGGAACACCGAGCCCCTCCCCAAAGAAAAGGGGTCCTTCTTCAGCGCCTCGACTGTAGGTCGTCGTCGAGTGGTGCTTTGATGACCTGCGAGCCCACCACTCCTCGCCATCGGCCCTGCCCCCTGGCACGCGTTCGGCGCTCCGGCGTGGGAGGCGCGGCACGCGAAAGGGCCGCACACTGCGAACGAACCGTGCGGCAAAACAGACGAGCGGCAGGATGCACCAGCCCGCTTCTGCAGGCCATACCAGGCGGCGAGCGAGGGGGGGAAGTGAGAAGGGGCGGGCCTTCTCAGAAGGCTCGGAAGTCTCACGGCCTTCTGATAAGTTTTCCTAGCCTTCCCCGAAGACATAAAAAACTTCTCAGAAGGCGTGAGGGTTTCCGAGAAGTCCCGCCGCCTCAGGCCTTCCCACTCCCACGGCCCCCCCTCGCTCGCCGCCGATCTACACATCCATGTTCTTCTCCTCCTCCTCCTCCTCCTCCTCCTCCTCCTCCTCCTGTCCTTGGTCACTGGCTCAGAGCTGTGGCTGGAAGAGCCGAGGAGCTGCGATCGCAGCCCTGCGCCTGCGGACTGGACCACCCGCGGGAACTGCGGAATGCACCACGCGGCGTTCTGTCAGGGGCGGCCAAAGGAGGGGGGCGTCCAAGAGTGGGGGGGGCGCAAACCATGGCCGGCGGCATGTGCGCGGCCCAGGGGGGGGGCAGGGACGTAATGAAACAAGAAGAAACGCCATGAAATCTGAGGAAACATCATGGCCCAAGCCATGATATCCACCCCCGCTAGTCATCACCCCCCTCTTGGCCGCCCCCGATTCTGGATTCGTGGGCCCCCTGGCACGCTTCAAGATGATGGAAGCATCACATCGCAAAAACACGTTTTCGGATCCAATGCCTTCGTAAACCACATCGGCCCTGAGGGCAGAGGAAGGGCGAGGAGGGACGAGGGGTAGAAAAAGAGGATAAGGGAAGAAACAGGTGGACAAGAACGAGAAGGAAGAGCAGGACGAACAGGTGCAGGAAAGAGGAGGGAACAGGGAGGGAGGGAGGGAGGGAGGAGGAGGGGAAAGGAGGAGGAACCACACTGCACGTCAAGAACTACAATTTCTTTCTGGCCCTCCCCGAGTGCGGGCAGGACTGGGCGCTACACCGCCCCCGCGGCGGCCCGCACGCAGCAGGCTGGCAGACTCGGCGGCGCCACGCAGCGCGCTGACGTGCGCCCTCCACGGCCCGCAGGCTGCTGCCAGGAAGCTGCGCCCGCGCTGGGCCCGAGGGCACCTGCCAGGAAGCTGCGCCACGGGCCGTCTGGGCTCACCTCCCTGGCGACTGGCGAGCGCGCCGGCCGGCGCTGCGGGGGCCCGCCCTGCGCCAGAGGGTCCCTTGGCTGCGCGCACCAGGGGGTATATGGGGAGGGGGGGAGGCTTCTTCGAAGCAGGCTGCCTCTTAGAAGGGCCCGGCCGTACACCTGCAGACGAGGCCCGCGCCCGGAAATGATTCCGAATACCCGGAAAAGTACCGAAACAGTGTCGAACGAGTCTCGCCGCCCAGGGCCCCACACGTGCAAACCCTCCAGTTTCGGTACTTTCCTGGTGCTCGAAATTATTTATGGTAATCAAGGCGAGAATAGATCGGAGCATCATAAGTCTAAGAAGCCTTCCCCCTTCCCCCTACCCCCCTCTGCGCGTGGCCGACCACCGCGCTCGGGGCTGCTCGCGCGGAAACGGGCTCCAGAAGAACGCAGCGGCGACCCTTGAGACGGCGCAGGAGCGTAGTCAGGGCGGAGTGCGGTTGCCGCGTCGAGCGCCAGACGCCAGGTGCTGGCCTGGGACCGATGACGCTGGCACTGCACGGGCTGCCAGACACGCGGCACGGCGGCCGCGCTGGCCACGGGGCGCGAGGAAACAGTCCTCGAGGAGGCAGTCCTGGACCCTGGAGATCCAGCGCGTCGACTGCCCGTGGATCGACATCGACGTCACGGTGCGCTACGGCGTGCCCGCCGACGCCGGGGGGCTCGTGGCTGCCGCGGCGCGCGATGCCGCGGTCTGCGGGAACGCCGCCGCCGACAAGCAAGCCTGGCGCCCTGACGAACGCGCGCGCCTTGGCGGATGGTGCCGGTCGCGCTGGAGAGGTTCCGCTGCTACAGCCCGGCCGCCCTGCAGCACCTGCGGGCGCCAGCGCGGGACCAAGCGCAACTGCCCGCCAGGGACGACGGCGCCGTGGCCGCGGCCGCGATGCAGCGACCGCTGGGGCGCGGTGCTGGCGATGGCGCTGCCAGCAGCCACCGCGCGCCAGCTGCGCACGGCGCTCGGGGCAGAGGCGACCCAGCCGAGCGCGCGCGGCGCTTCTCGACCACCTACCACACCAGCCCAACCTAACCCGCAGACCCGACTTTCGGATTCCACATGTGTTTTTGCCCATTTTCCCCGACGCCCCCCCACCCCACACACTGGGAATGGGGGGCAAATTAAGGCTTTCGGGTTGGGCTGCGCGGTTCGGTCCTGCAGCGAGTGCGGGGGGGGAGTGAGGAGGAGAAGGCCTTGTCAGAAGGCGGCGGAACTTCTCAGAAGCCCTCGCGCCTTCTGAAGAGTTTCTGGCGGTTGCGGGGAAAGCTTAGAAAACTGCTCAGACGGCCAGCAGGGGGATTCCGAGCCTTCTGAAAAGGCCCCTTCTCACTGGCCATCGCTCGGACGTCCATTCCCTGTGTTTTTGTTGGTTCGATTTCGTGCGTGGCTTTTTCGCCAAATGATCAAGGATGCTCCTCGATGGTCCTCGTCGAAGGAAAAATGCACGCGTCCGAGCGATGCCAAGCTTTTTTCGCATCCCCCCCAGGCTGGCGGGTCATGCCTCGGGTCTTCCGCGGCCGTGCGGGACGATCCGGGCAACCTCCCCGGCACGCTCTCGGCGAGGCGCAGCCGTGCGGGGCGCGTCCCGACCGAGGCCAGGGATACGCCGAGAGCCAACGAAAACGCCCCAAACCCGTGAACCTCGAACCCGAGGCTCGCAGTCGATTGGTGGTGCGGTGGCTTCGTTCGCCGGTCCGGATAGGCCGGCGCCCACGAGGGGGGGGGGGGGGGCTCCTTCGAGGCGCGCCGCGCTGCTCTGTCTCCACGCGAGCTCAGTGCCGTTCGGTGCAGCTGGGGGCGGAGGGCGAGCCCCCCCCCCGCAAAAGAAGGGGGCGGGAAGGGAGGTGCGGACAAGGACATGGACATCCGCATAAAGGGGGTGCAACGTCTGAGCACCAAGCGACCTACGCTCTACACTCAAAATCCACTGCGATCTGTTGTGCTACAACCCCGCCTTCTCACTAGGGCTGGCAGGGGGCACGCCGCGTAGCTCAAGGACCGAGCTCCGAGGTGGCCCCGTAAGAGAGGCTCGCTACCTTACATCACGAACGCCTTCGGGCCAGTGCGAGGGGAGCGGCTGCTGTCCCTTCTGCGTGCCCTGGGTGAAGGGGGCGCGCGGGCTTAGCAGGGCGCCCAAGCCAGGGGGGGGGGGGGAGACGGAGAGACGAAAGGCCCGAGACCCCGAACTGTTGCTGCGGGGGCTGATTCTTCTACAGTTTGAATTCCGTGTTCCCCTCTCCCGTTCTGCTCACTTCTCGGTCGTTCCGAGAGATGTCCCCTGTGTTGTCACATCTGTACTCTGGTACTCTGTCGAAGTAACCCATCGTTCCCCCTCGAAGAGTATGTGGGGTAGAACATACTGTGAATCACTGTATACGGCAGGGCCAATGGGGAGCACACTGGTGGGCCTCCTGGTGATCACTCTTGTTTCCCTTCGACACCCTGCAGTAGTGTACCTGACGGCACTCAAAACAGACTCCCCATTGTGACGGCGATGCAAGCGCTCTGTTGTTCCCATGCTGGCTGTCAAGAGTTGCACTCCGAGAAACCTCACTAATGCTCCTCCTGACTGTCAGCGGGCACGGCCATCCAGCAGCTTGCCTAAAGTAGCACTCCGAGAAACCTCGCTAATGCTTCTTCTTGGCGAATCAGCAGGCTCCAGTGGGTGAGCTCACTGGTGGCCGCTGGACGAGCTGGCCGTAATCATATCCTCCGACTTGGGGTGGCCGAACTTTTCCGCGAAGATCGCGGTGCCATCCAGCAGGGTCTGGGTGCTGCCCCGTAGCTTCTGGCGCTCCTTCAGCCTCTTCACGCCCTCTGGGTCCATACTGCCCTCGTTGGTCAGCTCCTCAATGGCAACCCCCATTGTGTTGTGGAGGTTTTCTTCGTCGTCCTTCGCAATCTTCAGCGCCAGCGCACACCAGCTCTGCACAGTGAAGGCCCTCCTCCCTGACCTCTCCCGTTGGTCCACTGGGTATCTAGCGACGAGGTCGCAACCTTCGACCTTGTGCGTCATCGGGAAGGATATTGGGACCAGTTCGAATAGCTCCTCTGGGCTCATCTTCTGGGCCGCGTCGAAGAACTGGTAGCGGTACTCCCTGATGTCGTCGTCCAGTTGCTGCGGAGGGAGGTGAGGAGGAGGAGGAGGAGGAGGAGGAGGAGGGACCAGTGTAAACCCAAGAGTCATCAACGATGTTGGAATAATCCCTCCCACCAGACTCCCTCTTCACAGGCCCCTGCAACGGCGTATTTTCACTGCGGAAGCTGCTTCGTTGGAAAACAACATTTTTGAAGATCCTGAAGCATGCAAAACATTCTTCTCGGGATTGCAACGCCACGGATTAACATGACTACTGCGACTTGACATGCCTGAATCGCGCCGGAACGCCGTTCCTGGGACTTCAACACCGCGAACCAACGTAACTGTTGCACTGTTGCACCCTCATAATCCTGGGCCCGTCCAGAACACTATTTCTGATACGCTGGTCCTGGGAATCCGCGACACTCTTGCAAGCTCAAAAACGAATGTGCGCGGCGCTACAGCGAGAGCCACATCATTTTGAAAATGAGCCGCCCTCCATCCGTGAAACCTTCGCAAATTACGAAAACGAATGCACGCGGCACTAAGACGAGAACCACATGTTGAAAACGATTCGCCCTCAATCCACGACCCTCTTGTAACTTTGTTTAACAAATGTACGCGGCGCTGATGCGAGAGCTACATTTTGAAAGCGACCCGCCCTCAATATGTGAAGCTCTTGTCACGTTGTAAGCTTCAGGGTCACAGATGGTTAGGAAGTCTCAAACGAAACGCCGTGGGAGGAGGAGGCGGAGGATGAGGAGGAGACAAAGGAGGAAGAGGAGGCAAATGGAGGGGATTGGAAGGGAAGGGGGAGAGAACGGGACGGTGGGGGTGCGTGCCAAATCGGGCCTGCATCATCGCGGCGTACGTGACTGACATCAGGCTCTTGCAGAATGACACCGCGTCCTTCACGCGAGCCTCACGCCGCGCGTTCTCCCAGCAACGGCTCCCCATCCCACGGCTGCTCGAAAAAGATCGTCCCCCTCAAGGCCTAAACAATCGGATAACTACTCTCTCCTCTCCCCCGATACTGCCGGCTGTTCACAGATAGGCGATTGCTTCAGTTGTTCCCGCCGCACCATTTGTCAAACTTCAGGGTCGGCGCTGGCTCCCGTCGTTCAGAATGGCGCTGTCGCCCGAGGCTGGGCAACATTTCTTGGATCCGACTCCTTCCTCGTTGGTGCCGTCCCACTCATTTCTCCTCCTCCGCCTGCCCCTGGTCCTCCTGTTCCTGTTTCTGCTGATGCTCCTCGTCCCCCTCCCCCACGTTCGAATTTGACCCTTCCTCCTGCACATCCTCGTGCCCATCCGCCACAACCTCATTCTCGTACAAAACCTCCCGCCCGGTTTCCGGAGCACACGACGGGACAACTTGGGGGATCAAGATGCTCTAGGACACCCCAGTCGGCGGATAGGAAATAATTCAACGCTATACGCTATGGAAAGGTATAGGTTGGAGGGGTGGGATGTCAGAAATGGCGCGAGCGCAACTGGATAGGCCTACCCTATCTCCTCCTTTCTGCTCGCCTTTCTCGTTGCCGTCCTCATCCTCCTCTCCTTCATCGTATCATCATCATCATCATCATCATCATCATCATCCTCATCATCAGCTTAGTCATGATCATCAGCATCAACATCAGCATCACAAGCAGCAGCATCACCACCACCACATGATCACCGCCACCACACTCATCATCATCAGCAGCAGCATCGTCAACAGCAGCATCAGCATCAGTATCAGCATCGACGTCATACATACCATTATCATCAGCATCACCAGTATCATTATCATTAACATTAACATCACCATCACCATCACCGCCATCACCATCACTATCAACATCAACTTCGTCATCAACATCGTCGTCCTCCTCCTCATCCACTTCCTCATCTCCTCCTCCTCTCTCGTTATCATTCTCTCTCTCTCTCTCGCTCTCTCGCACGCTCTCTCTCTCTCTCTCTCTCGCTCTCTCTGTTTACAAGTATGTGTATATGTATATATATATATATATAGATATAGATACGCACGTATGCATGTATATGTGCGTGCTCATCTCTTTCTCTCGTTGCACATGCCAAATCATAGGCGCATCGCACATGTGAGCCCACGTGTACGACAACTGATGCATACATGTAGATGTCTATGCACATGCACGTGCATTTGCACCATTTACACACCCGTGTGTATACATACAGACTCGAGAAAAACCTCGATGTTAACACGTGTGAAACGTACATCGATGCGTGTACAAATGTATACGTTACCGTGCCTGTGCATGTATGTACGCTTCACTGGTACGTATGACTGCTCCTCGATGTGATATGTATTGAACACAAGCATGTCGCCCAATAGTATACAATCAAAAATCGTAACGAGGACCCACAATAGCCTCAAACTGACCTCCAAGACGGTCCCAAACTGCCTCCAAGACCGCCAAGATGGCCCAAGAGAGCCCAAGACGGCCCAGGAAGCGTCCGAGAGGCCTCCACGAGGTCCTCCAAGAAGGCCCGACAAGGCCAGCATCACTGATTTCCCATCGGTGGTTTAAACGATGTTGGCATATACTTCAAAACAGCCTCCCGACGGCCCAAGACGGACCAAACTGCCACGTTGCCACAAGATCGTCCAAGAAACCTCGAAGATGGCCCCACCAAGACGCCCAAGATAGCCTTCAACACGGCCCTGAAGCGCCCCCAAGAGGGCCCCAAGACGACCCACAAAGGCTCCCAAGATGGCTTCCGATGGCGTCAGACGGGCCAGGAACGCAGCAATATTGCCAACGAGGCTGCCAAGATGCCCCCAAACTCACCTAAGAGGCCCAAAGGACGCCCCCAAGACGAATCCAAGAGGCCCCCAGGAAGCCCTAGGAGACCCTAAGAATGACCCAAGAAGCTCCCAAGATGTCTACGCTTCCTTCTCCTCATCCTCCCTTGCCGTTCCCTCTCCTCATCCTCCTCTTCATCCCCCACGTGTTCCCCGAATGGTTTCCGCAACGGTTGAGGGGACGCATGGCCGCATGGTCCAATAGCGTGGCCAAACTTGCCAGAACGTGTGGCCACACTGGCGCATCCTAAGCGGCAAGAGGGCGGCGGTGAGTCGCCGCAGGCGTTTTCGATACATTCTAAAGTACGACGCATGTGTGATCACAACCCTCATTCCCCCTCCCGCCCCCTCTTCTTCATCACCGTCACCAGCACCAGCATCACCACCATCACCGCCTCCTCATCACCCTTTTCATCAGAGTCCTTCCCTCCCCCCTCCCTTTCTATAGTTGCGTCGCCCTCTTCATCCTCCGTTTCCCCATCCGACTGCTCATCGTGTCACTCCTCCTTCTTTTTGTTCCTTCTGCCGTCGCCCTCCTCCTCCTCATCATCATATTCTTCCTCCTTCTCCCCTTCTGCGTCCCCTTTCTAATCCTCATCCTACTCCTCCCGGCCCTGCTCCTCATCACCATGATCGTCGCCAGCATCCGCGTCACCACCAGTCACCACCACCACCCACCACCACCACCACCATCGGCATCACCACTTGCAGCAACACCGCCCCCATCACCATCAGCAGCGACATGAGCACCACCGCCACCATCATCACCGCCGCCACGCCCATCATTAGCAGCGGCACCAGCATCGTCACCCGCATCACAAGCATGATCTTCATCCGCATCCGTGTCAGCGTCATCATCGCAATTATCATTACATACACCATCGCCACCAGCACCACCGCCATAACCATCACAATCACCATCAGTACCACCATGCTCATTATAAACATCACCACCATCAACATCAACATAACCATCACATCGTGGAAATCGCCGCCGCCATCATCATCATCACCATCATCATCCCCAGCATCAGCATTATCATCCCCACCATCACCACCAGCACCATCACCACCACCATCATCATAATCACCATCAACAGTACCATCATCACCATCATCATAATCATCGCCAGCACCATCAACATCGCCGCCAACATCATCAACACGACAACATCAGCATCGTCATCGTAGTCGCCACCGTCATCGTGATCATCACCATCAGTATTGGAAACGGCAGATTCACTCCATTACCTTGAAAGAATGTTTTGCTAAAGTGGAACCAACCTTTTAGTCAAGTGTTGCTGCTCTGTTGTGCGACAACCGCGGCGACACGCCCGAATTGCTGAGACGCGTCCTGCGCTCGCGCCCCGAATCTCCTGTCAAGGGGCATATACGAATCGCTGGCAACATGTCGAAGGATCGCCGCGACCCGATGTGACGCGACCCTGGTTACTCGAACAAATACATCGCGGGGTGGACGCAAAAAAGTCCAGGGCCCCACGCCCCCCGAGCGGGCCCTGGACCCGCATCGCCAGCGCACCCCCAGGACTTTACTAAGGCAAACCACGGACTTTACTAAAGCGAGAAAGCGGCTCTACTACAGCGAGGAATCGGCGCTACTCAAGCGAGGACGCGCCTTTACTAACGCGAGGAAGCGGTTTTAGTAAAGGCGCGTTTCTCTACATTCCGAACAGAGTAAGGACGTTGTACTCAAGCGAAAAGAAAGCTTAAGTAAAGCGGAGGGAAGGCTGGGGTAACATTGCGCGCATACATGTCGTTCCTTCAAGAAAAATCTGGCGCGGGACTCCAGGAACGAGGGCGGGGCGCAAATTCGCCCGTGGGCCTGGACCCCGTCGCCGCCGTCGCCGCGATGTTCGTCGTCGCCGATGCCGCCGATGCCGCCGTTGTCGTCGTCGTCGGCGCAGGCGCCGCCGTCGTCGTCGCCGTCGCCATCGTCGTCGCCGCGATGCCCGCGCATCCACGTTATTACCAGCGGCGGGTCGCGCGCGACCGCGCGCGCCGTTGCGCTCGCATTTCCGCTCGTCCGACGGGGGCCCAAGCGGAAATCAGTTTTTTTCCACCCACAACACGTTTAAAGTAACAGTGGGAAACTTTCGCCTCTGAAAAAAATAACAATCATGATCACCGTCCTAGTCATCACCTTCCGCATCATCAGCATCATCATCACCATCACCACCATCATCATCATCATCAGCCACATCATTATCATCATCAGCATCATCATCCGCATCATCATCATCATCATCAGCCGCATCATCACCATCATCAGCATCACCATCATAATCATAATCGCCATCATCATCATCAGCATCATCATCATCAGCCACATCATCACCAACATCATCAGCCACATCACCATCATCAGCCACATCATCATCATCATCATCATCATCGTCATCATCATCGTCATCATCATCATCGTCATCATCATTATCCCCCTCCTCTTGGCCATCGCCGCCCACGGCTTTGGCGGACCCGACGCGACGTTTCCACGGTGTCGCCCCGCAGCCGAGCCGTTACTCCCTGCAGTTCGGGGCCGACCTCCTGCCGAAGTCGGCCCCGGGGTCTGGCTCGGGGGAGAAGCGCGTGGCGCCACCGCGCACCCGCCACCTCCGCCACCCCATGCACAGGCCCGTGCATGGCCAGGGTTTAAAGGCATTTTTTTAACACATAGGATTTGGGAAAATGTATGATTTTTAATCCATGATTGATTTATGAACAAATTCATGCATGAAATCACCGTTGTTTTGAATACTAAATCCCTGCATGTTTACAACATGATCCGCACGCGGAGCATGTATTAAAAACGGCAGTGCGTGCCCAGGCCCGTGCATGGCCAGGGCTCAGCTTGGGGCAGGTCCCTGGCAAAACTGCTTCTGAGGAGGAATGAGGAGCAGCAGAGAGCCGGAAGGCGGAGGCGACGGGCGCGCGGCCGCAGGGCGCGCGCCACGGGCCCCCGCCGAGCAGCGCACGTGCGCCAAGCAGAGGCAACGAGGGACGGAGAGGCGCAGGAGCGGGAACTGCCTTCACCAATCATCTCCTCGCAGCCGGTGCTTTCCATCCGCATGGATGTCGAGGTTGATCGCCCCCCCGAGGGCTGGCCGGCCCAGAGTGGGGGGAGGGCTGCGTCGGAGCGGCTCCTCGGCCAACAGGCAAAGGCAGCATGCGGGAGCTGGAGCGAGCAGGCCTGCCCAACTCACGGCGCCAGGGCCCAGCGGAGGTCCGCCTGGACCTCGGCCTAGACTTCGGCCAGGGGGCAGCTGCCCCCCGCGGCCACGCGCGGGCAGCCGCACGGGTTCGAGCCTTGCCCCCCCGAGTGGCCGGGGCCCGAGTGCGGCAGGCGCGTGTCGTGACGGCCCTGGCGTTGGCTCCTGCAGCTGCAAGCAGAATGCCGGTCAGCGGACAGTCGGCCACCGCACAAGAAAACAATCTGCGAATGATAGCTCCAAGCGGTCAACTTTCCAAAAGGATGGTGTTGCCGAAATATGTCAGCGATTTGTCCCAGCTTATGAGGGCCGGGCACGCCGCCCAGGCGGCCGCGGAAGGCGGTTCCACACCGAGGTGGTGTACGCCTTGGCGCTGGCCCGCTGCAGCGGTGCGGCCGAGCTCTGGCGCGCCGCCGTGGGCACGGCCGCGCAGCCAGCCCAAGTGCGCAGGCAGTCCTGCGCCTCGCCACAGGACCGCCCCAGCGTGTCTTTAGAAGATGGAAAGGGGTGTGGTGTAAAGGGGTGTGGTGTGGACGCCCTGCATGCCCACAGAAACAACGATATGGGCGACTTCACTGCGTTGCCATCTGCGACGCACGCGGCCGAATCCAAAGCAATGCTGGCACCGCTGCTCCAAGTGGGCCACGCTCGTGCCAGACACTGTCTGGCGCGAGCGTGCCCAGGGCCGCGCCGGGGCAGAGGCAGTGCCGTGTTTCTCTGGCGCGACCGCCGCCCGCGGCCACGTCGCGCTGGCCCTGCCCCGCTGGCCTTGCGGCTCTGGCGGCATCGTTCCCAGATCCGCCTCACAACCTTATCCTCCTCCTCTTCCTCCTCCTCCTCCTCGTTCCCCTCCTCGTTTCCCTCCTCCCCCTACCCACCCCTTCTTCCCGACGGCACTGAAGCACGAAGGCCGCAGCTAGACACTGAATTAAGAAGAGGAGGAGGAGGAGGAGGAGGAGGAGGAGGAGGAGGAGGAGGAGGAGGAGGTGCCCGCACACCCGGCGCCCTTCCCACTACTGCGACAATTGATTAGGTGCCGCGCACACCCGGGTGATAAGTACCGCCCTCCACTCTTCCTGCCCCCTACGCCAAACTCACCCTTCTCACCCGCCTTCGTGGTACTGCAAGAGTTGATTAGGTGTTGCGACACCGCGCCGCTTTCCCCAACAGAAGAAATGTAACAAGGGTACATGGGAAACGTGAGTTGGCACCGCAAAAGGATACCAGCGCGCACGCGGCAGTCAAAACGCTTGCCGCAGGTCGTTTCTTGCGCCCGTGCTTGCCTTCACCCCCTGTTCTCTGCGACTCCACTTCCGAGCGGATCCCCGCAGACCAGCGCGACGACTCGAGCGCACGGGCACGTAGCCCCTAGCCAGGGAGGGAGGAGAGGGGAGGGGGCAAAAAGTCTAAGAGATGAGAGGGGAGTAGAAGGGTGTGAGGTCATCCCTGATAGCAGCGCCGTCGCCTAAAAAAGGCGCCCCGGCCGCCTCCGGCAGCCGAGAGCTGGCAGCTTGGAACAGCTGCGCCGCTATAAAGGTGCACAACTCCGAGCTGTAGTGCTCGGATTGTGCTGTTCGGAGGTCCTCGGCAGAGCCGCCGCAGGCAACTCCGTGGGGGTTTCTGCCTGAACTGTCTCTGTAGGAGCAGCGCCCCCCGCGCGGGAGGCCGGACACAGCCGGCCCGTCTCCTCCTCCTCCTTCTCTTCCTCCTCCTCCTCCTCCTCCTCCTCCTCATCTTCCTCCTCCTCGTCCTTCTCCTCCTCCTCCTCCTCCTCCTCCTCCCTCCTCCTGCCCCCCCTACTCCTCCTCCTCCTTCTCCTCCTCCTCCTCCTCCACCTCCTCCTCCTCCTCCTCCTCCTTCTCCTTCTCCTCCCCTCTCCTCCTCCTTCCCTCCACCTCCTCCTCCTCCTTCTCCTCCTCCTCCTCCTTCTTCTCCTCCTCCCTCCTCCTGCCCCTCCCCCTCCTCCCTCCCTCTCCCTCCTCCTCACTCCTCCTCCTCCTCCTCCTCCTCCCTCCTCCTCCTCAGCCTCCTCCTCCTCCTCATCATCATCCTTTCCTCCCTCTCCTCTTCCTCCCGCCCGCCCGACCCCCCGCCCGCCCGCCCTCCCGCCCTCCAGCCCTCCTCCTCGCACTTTTTGGCCCTACCCGCCTCCGACGCCGCACCCAGCTGCCGGCTGAGCGACGCGGCCTCGTCCTCACGGCGGGGGCCCCCGATCGGAGGAGGGCGAAGAACGTCGCCCCCCTCACTCCTCGTCCTTCTTCCCCTCCTCCTCCTACTCCTCCTCCTCCTCCTCCTCCTCCTCCTCATCATCATCATCATCATCCTCATTAGTCATCCATTAGCTTGTTCATTCATGCATTCATTCATTCATGCATGCATGCATGCGTTCATTCATTCGCAAATATGAGCGCGCCAGGTAATTTCACAACACCACGCGACAAAAAAACCTCCCCTATCTGTATCATGGGGTCCATGCAAATAAATGGCGTCCAGGGTTTTGGCCCGCCACTTACGCCACCACATGGAACTCCTCCTCGTCCTTCTGACGAGCCGCAGCCAAACGGGCCTCGCGCGCCAGGATTGCCTCTTCGAGGCCGTCCTCCTGGAGACCGGACTGGACGAGCAACTGTTCCAGTCCGAGTGGTGAGTAAGCAAAGCGCAAAGGCCCAGTGAGCTCGATTATCAATCAGAGGAGGAGGGGGAGGAGGCCGAGGAGGAGGAGGAGGAGGAGTAGAATGAGGAGGAGGGACGGGGAGGAGGAGGAGGAGGAGGAGGAGGAAGAGGAGGAGGAGGTGGAGGAGGAGGAATAGGAGGAAGGAGGAGGGGGGGGAGGAGGAGGGAGGAAGGGATGAGGCAGAGCGGGGCGGGGGAGAGGAGGAGGAGGGGGAGGGAAGATGAAGGGCAGGGATACCCCTGTAGCGGGGAGGTGGTCAGGGATCGGAAGCCTGGGGTGCCGAACCTTGGGCGCCAGCAGATCGATCAGAGACTGGGGCGACGGGGCCTTCCAGGGACCGACCGCCCAACCTCTGTGCTGCCTGGCCCCACGGCAGAAACTTCAGCTCGAGCGCCCGCTTCTTCTGACCCACAGCGTGCGTCGAGCGGCCCCTCCTCCTCCTCCTCCTCCTCTCCCTCCCTCCCTCCCGCCCACCCTCCCCCCCCCTTCCACCTCTTCACTCCTCCTCCTCCCTCCGTCCTCTCCTACTCCTCCTCCTCTCCTCTCCTCCTCCTCCTCCTCCTCCTCTTCCTTCTCCTTCGCACGCCGCCTCCTCCTCCTCCTCCTCCTCCCCTGATCATCCTCATCCCCCCTCTTCCTTCTCTTCCTCCTACTCCTCCTCCTCCTCCTCCTCCTCCTCCGCCTCCTTCTCTTCCTCCTTATCCTCCTCCTCCTCTTCCTCCACGCCGTCATCTTCAGCAGCATCATGAGCATAATCATCATCATCACCATCATCATCACCACCACCCTCATCACCAGCATCCTCATCACCATCATCATCAGCATCATCATCACCATCATCATCATCATCATCATCATCATCACCAGCAGCATAATCATCATCAACATCATCGCCATCAGCATCACCATCATCATCATCAACAACATCATCGCTATCATCATAATCGTCATCAACTCCATCATCATCATCATCATCATCATCATCATCATCATCATCATGATCCACATCATCAACGCGATCAGCACCAGCATCGTCGTCGCCATCGCCATCGCCATCGTGATCGTCATCGTTATTGGAAGCGGCAAATTCACAGTATGACGTTGACAGCGTTTTTTTGTTAAAAGGGAACAACCCTTTTATTAACTTGTTGTTGCTCTGCTGTGCGACAACCGCGGCGGCGCGCCCGAATTGCTGAGACACGTCCTGCACTCGCGCCCTGAATATCCTGTCAAGGAGCATCTACGTCATCATCATCATGATCATCATCATCATCAGCATCATCATCCTCATCATCACCAGCATCAGCAGCATCATCACCATCACCATCATCATCAGCATCAGCATCATCATCATTAGCAGCATCATCATTAGCAGCACCAGCATCGCCAGCTTCATCATCATCATCATCATCATCAGCATCATCATTATCATCATCAGCAGCAGCAGCGTCATCATCCCTCCTCCTCAAGAATCTCCTCCTCCGCCTCCTCCTCCTCAACCTCCTCCTACTTCCCCTCCTCCTCATCACTCCTCATCACTCCTCCTCGTTCCTACTTCCTCCTTCCTCTGTCCTCCGTCATCATCCCTCTTCCTGTTTATCCTTCCTCCTTCCTCCTTCCTCCGTCCTCCTCCCTCATTCCTCCTTCCCTCTTCCTCCTTCCTCCTTCCTCTGTCCTCCGTCCTCCGTCCTCCTTCCTCCTTCTTCCTCCTTCCTCCTTCCTCAGTCCTCCTTGCTCCTTCCTCAGGCTTCCTTCCTTCTTCCTCCTTCCTCCGTGCTCCTTCCTCCTCCCTCCTCCCTCCTCTTCCTCCCGTATCCCGCTTCCTCTCCTTTTTCTTCCTCCTCCTCCTCCTTCGCCCTCCTCCTCCTGCCAGACCTGCCTCACCCTCCCTCCTCCTCCTGTTCCTGCCTCACCCTCGCTCCTCACCATGCTCCTCCTCCTCCTCCTCCTCGCTCCTCCTCCTCCTCCTCCTCCTCCTCCTTCTCCTCCTCATTCTTCTCCTCCTCCTCCTCCTCCTCCTCCTTTCCCCTCCCTCCCTCCCTCCCGCCCTCCCTCCCTCCTTTCCCCCCCCTCCGGCCCCTCCCTCCCTTCCTCCCGGAAGCCTCGGCCCGCGGGCCGCGGGCTGCCCCCCCGAGAACTGAGGGGGGGAGGGGGAGCAGAGGCGAAGGAGGAGTGAGTGAGAACATACGCTTCCAAGAGATACGCATCCAAGAGATACGAGAGATACGCTTCCAAGACCACCCTCGCTTCCAAGATACGCGAGATACGAGAGATACGCTTCCAAGAGATACGAGAGAGATTGACCACCCTCGCTTCCAAGAGATACGAAACGATGCCAAACTACGGCATACAGTCGGACCTAGGCCAGAAGAACATCCCTCAAGAACATGAGACCCTCCGCCGGCCAAAACACACAGAACAGCCAAGGGTACCCTCCCCAGGATGCACAAGAGCATTCCACAGACACGAAGAACATCAGGGTACCCTACCCGAACCGACCTCGGCCTTATACATCGGTCCGACTGTAGGGGGAAAGCAAACCTACCTCGCTTTTGACCACCCTCGCTCCCAAGAGATACGAAACGATGCCAAACTACGGCCTGTATAAGGGGGCCGCATGCGAACCCTACCCCTGCCCCCCACGACTTCTGAGGGGGAGGGTGGGGTTCACTTCGTTCGAGAGCTCCCGAGCGAGGTGAACCCCACCCTCCCCCTCAGAAATCGCGGGGGGTAGGGGTAGGGTTCGCATGTGGCCCCCTACTGTACTGGTCAGGCCGCCTGACGAGGAGGCGCGTGGTATGACTTGGTTTTGCCTGGAAGCGAAAGCGGGGCAGGTCATTCACGCTCCGAGAACGGTCGCGATAAGAGTCGAAACGATCTACAAGCGCTTGCGAGCGAGCATCTCGGCCTTGCGTAAAGCCTTCGGCCATCGATCGGACTCGATCCGATTTCAATACTCGGCTCGATTCGCTTTCGTTCGCCTAAGATGTTCTTGACCCAGGCTCCTAAGGACACAACTGGCAGAATGCCCGCACTGTGAGCAGAACCAGAGCCCCAAGGATTGGTGCAAAAGCATTCTGTGAGGAGAGAGGGTGGGGAAGGAGGAGAGGGGGGGGAGGGCGGAGGGGTTGGAGGGGGTGGAGGGGGTGGAGCGGAGGGGGAGGAAGGGGAGAAGGAGCAGGGGAAGGGGGGAGGAAAAGGAGAAAACAACCGCGAACGACGAACACGGAGGGGAGGAAGACAAGGAGGAAGAGGAGGAGGAGCAGCAGCAGCAGCACCAGGAGCAGCAGGAGGAGGTGGGACGATGAGACAAGGGAGACTGCCGAAGCCGGAGCACGTTTGATGGGGGGAGGACCCGGCGGCTGCGGCAACAAGATGGCGAATGGGGAGGAGGAGCAAAAGCAGCAGCAGCAGCAGAACCAGCAGCAACAGCAGCTAACAACGCGCCCCACTCTGGGGGACAGAAGAACAAGAAGGCACAAAGGTGCCGCTACCGCGACTTCCTGGACCTCTCCGGGCTTGCGTTCAGACCAAGATGTCAAGGCGAATCCAACCGTGGCGGCGAGGGCCTACCTGGAGGCCCCCCGAAAAGCGAAAACGAGGCAGGGGTGCGACTTTCGAGTGCTTCCCGCCCATAGCTCTCGTTACCCGGCGGGGGACATGTACCAGTAACGCTTGGGCGGGGTGCGGCACGTCCGGGCGGGGGTGCGCTGGGATCCCCATAGTCGGCGCGCGAGCTCCAGCGTCAGGCGGGGGTCCCAGGCCTCCCGCCCATACGTGTGACTGGCCATCGCTCGGACGTCCACTCCCTGTGTTTTTTTCGGTTTCGTGCGTGGCTGTTTCGCCAAATGATTCAGGCTGCTCCTCGATGGTCCTCGCCGAAGGAAAAATGCACACGTCCGAGCGATGCCAAGGTGATCGCTACTGTTACCCAATGGGGGGGGCGGGGGGCGGGTCGGCCACCTATGAGACCAGAGTCTTGCCACCATGACCGAGATCGGGATCATAGTCCTTCGGTGGAGGCACACCGCCGATATTTTGGCGTTGCTGTCAACATCGGCGGCGAACCCGGGGGGAGAGAGGAGAAGGGGCGGTCCTCTCAGAAGGCTCGGAAGGCCTCTGGCCTTGTGAGAAAATTCCTGAACCTTCAACGACGACACAGAACACCTCTCAGGATGCCGGAAGCCTTCTGAGAAGCCCCGCCGCCTTCTGAAAAGGCCTTTTCCTTCGCACTTCCCCCCCTGTCTCGCCGCCAAACACCGCCGAGATTGGCGCTGATGTCAGCCACTAGGCCTGCGATCAGGTGACCGCTTTTTTATCCCAAATAACGGTCGTTACGCGGGGGAGGTGTGGGGGGTCGGGCAGGAGGGTAACGGCAACGGCGGCTGGCACCGGCGCGTCAATCGGCTGCGTGCACAACAGCACTAGGGGGCCACATGCGAACCCTACCCCTACCCCCCACGACTTCTGAGGGGGACGGTGGGGTTCACTTCGTCCGAAAGCTCCCGAGCGAGGTGAG